ATTGATTACATCTCAAGATTATGACTTACAGTAGTAAAGAGTGTGAATATCACCACCATCAGAAATCTCCATTGTGTGTTAAAGGAGAGAAGAAGCTATTCTATGAAATTACTTTTTCCATTGCTTTTGACTCTCCTATCCTCTAAATGTATCTTTGCTTCTCTTTGCATTTCCTGCTGAAAAATTCAGCCAGATTTTCAGTCATTCAACAAGTACTTATTAAGTATGTACTATTTGTCAGGCACTGTGCTGGTTCCTGAGAATACAAAGACAAAAGTGAAATAGAACCTGCCCTCAAGGAACGTATTGGTCTCTCTCATTTTAAAATTTGCTATGTAATAGACACTGTATACTTTTTTAATGATGGCCAATGGGTACTTTAGGGATATTTCCATAATGTCAGATAAGATATTAATAATACTCAGAATAATTTGCATTTTGAATAGGAATCTGAAACTGTCATTTAAAAACGAAGCTTTTTTGCATCCTTCTTTCATATTTGGTTTTGTCTAATTTTTCTATTTGACTATACCTTGAACTTCTAAAAGGATTTCATGCAAACTAATCTACTGATACACCAGGTTAAATAGCCTCTCCCACAGAGATTATGAATATGTTACCATATTTTAAGAGGGATCTTTGAAGAGTGTGCTAAGACTGACAGTTTAAATGTGATTCTAGAGTTTGATAACAGTGATAGCTGGAGAGAGACTGGATGAGACACAGAGATAAGGAGCTAAGAGAATTTCTTTCCTGAGAGACTGAGCTAATATTCAAGGAGAAACAAGCCTGAAGAGGCATTTCCTGAGAGCAGTGAGTTTCACTCTTATCTTGAGAAGAAACATGATGAAGAGAATCCTTGACTGATTTTGGCTATTATCCTGAGAAAGCTCAATGGTTGGCTGTGTTTCCAGTATTTAAAATTCAGCAATAACAGTAATGATTAAAGGTGTCTCTGACCTTCTTACAGCTGGTAGATTGCAAATAATGATTTCTTTTTTGTTATTTGTTATGCTGTTAATAAATTATATAATAGTAACTGTGATGGTTTGGCTGGGAAATTAGGGAATCTGATATCTATCTATCTATCTATATACACATACACACAATATGTATGTATGTATACATATATGTATACATACATACATACATACATACATATACTGTTAATAAATTATATAGTAGTAACCATAATGGCCTAGTTAGGAAATTAGGGAATCTGATTATATATATATATATATATATATATATATACACACACACACACACACACACACACACACACACACACACACATATATATACACACACACATATATAAACACACACATATACATATTGCATATAGATATATGTATGCATGTATATATGTATATGTATGTGTTGATATATGAAAGCTTATGGGAAAAGATGTTTCTTTTTATTTAATAAATAATATTTTAAAACTGGAATGGGAGCTGAATGATTAATTAATTAGAGATTCTGCAATCTTAGTAATTTATGAGGAAATATCAGAATATACTCCTTGATTGCCTTAAAGTCAAGGTAAAGAATGAATAAGATAACAAGCCAAGCATCAGGTAGCTAGGGATAATGATCTCAGTTAGGCCACATGTGGGTGATCAGCCCTAAAACTCTGTTATATTTGAGTGTCATAGCTCTTAAGCCTTGGTACGTTACATTGAGTATGAGCATCTCAACATGAATGCTGAATTTCATAGTTTTTTATACTTACCGGTGGGCCAATTAGTTCAGGAAATTCAGCCATACTCTTCATCCCATCAGTGCCATTGAGAATTGCCTAAGAAAGAAAAGCAGAATGGATAAGAATATGGTGCATTTTTCTTTTTTTATTAATAAGAATAATGACTAATGTTTATATTGTGCTTTATGGTTTGTGAAGCCCTTTACATTGATTATCTCACTATCTCACCTCACAACAACACTATGAATTGTGCATTATTATTATCCACATTTTACAGATGAGAAAATGGGAGCCCAGAGAAGTTAAGTAAGTTACTCAGGATCCTAGAGCTAATAAGTGCCCAAAACAAGATTCAAACTAAGGTCTTTCTGACTCCACGTTTAGAACTCTATCCAGTATGCTACCTAGCTATCTCTTTTTGCTAAATTCAATTAAAAAAAAAAGACAGGCTTTCAATAATATACTATAAGTCACTGCCAATTCATTGATGCCACTTGATTATTTTAAACAACTCAGGTACTCTATTTTCATAAATTTTTTCTCATCAATTTTTCATTCATTCTTATTTAATTACATTTAAGTCCTGATTTGTGCAAACAATGAATCCTATGAAGTGGCCTCATTATTTGAATTCTCACCATATGAAATTATAATTATATGCAAAACATGATCATTATTTCAGAGCAATATAATGAAAATTTTAAAAATAAATTTTTATCTGTTTATTAATGTAACATAATAGCAAAGGATAAGAAAAGTGTATTTCTGATTCCTTTATAATGAAGTCATATTTATAGAAAACAGTTTTTAAATAAAAAATTTTAAATTAATGAATATCATACTTATAAAACTACACTGATAATAAGATGACAACGTCATTATTGTCATGCCATTTAAAATACATTAGCAGTATAAGCTGAATTGTCTTTTCTTTCTTTAAATCTTCCTATTTACTGGTATGTACAGAGAGCTTTATCCACATCTTGCTAAATTTACATTTTCACATTCCTATACAATGAACCTAGTAAAATTGGATGACCTGGGGCATTATCTAAAATCAGCAATGCTTTAAACTTGATATTGTCCTTGCAATAGATTTCAATAGCTGGGCCAAAATTACTAGAAGACCAACCTTCAAAAATAATTTTAATCACCCATGGTTTCTTATTTGACCCCAGAGAACTAGAAGTAATCTTTATGCCTCACAGCGTAAGGATTTCAAGACTGATAAGCAAGACTTTTTTTTAAATCTAAAATTCCTTTTCTCCCAATAAAAATATTAGGGGGTCCTTAGATACTTTAAATCCACTTTGAGTATTTTCCCCTAGAAATATAAGTTCTAGAAAGCATCTTTTCCCAGAATAAGCCTGTTTTATCCACATTAAAAGTTTGTTGATCAACGTATCCATTTTCTCTTATTAAAACATCAAGACATTTACCTGCCATCTACAATGGTCACCTGTCTGGTAATAATAATAGTAATATAGCAATAAAATAGTAGTAATAGTAATAATAGTAGTAAATAGTAAGGAGTAAATAGCAAAATAATAATAATAGTAATAATAATGACTAACATTTATATAGCACTTCATTACATGCTATGTGCTTTACAATTATTATCTCATTTGATCCTTACAACAACCCTGGTGGTAGGTACTATTATAAACTGCATTTCGCAGATAAGCAAACTGAGGTGAACAGAGGTTAAGTGACTTGCCCAGGGTCATACACCTAATAAGTATCTGAGGCTTGATTTGCAAATAAGTCTTTCAGGCTCAGCACTCTATTCACTGTGACACCTAGAATGTTAATTCTAACATTATGCAATTGAACTCGATTTTTAGAAAGTGATTGAACCAACCAACATTTGCTCTAACAATTTCTTCATTACCCATTTCACTTCAATTTTCTTTCACTCTCTTAAATAAACTTGATGCTTTTGTCTGAATGGCAGCTCTGCTAAGAGGAATGCATTCTTGATTACAGTCCTCAATCCATACATCTAAAGAATGGTCCATTTCTATTACTGTAATATTTTCACTCCTCATAGTTGTTTGCAAACCACAAAAAAGCTGATGCAACTTTGTCTTTTTCTTTTGTTTCACCTGTATGTTGTACATTATTCTGTACCATAAATTTAGTCATTCCAACATCTCATTTTATTTAGAGTTACTATGCCATGGGTTTATGTTATTCAATTACAATACATTTTTGTTTTAATGTAATAAAAAGCCTCTTCTTTTCTACACACTCACAATATATCCATCTGAAATATTTTCCTCTTTGTCCATTTTGTGAAGGGTTTTAAAATTAACATGATCCCATTCACACAAAATGTTAGGCAAGTGCAGATTGATGCTAGATATTAAGCATGTTAAAATTCTAAACTAACGCACACATGTCGCATTAATCAAATTTTGGCTTGCATTAAATGTGACCTGGCATAATTTTATGATTCACAGTAAATCAAATTTTGCATTATTCAAAATTGCATTGATCTTGACATTGCTGTATTTTGTTTTTGTCTGTTTCATCTCTCCCATGGTAACTCCATTCTTACTCTAATATTCATTGTTAGCTTAGAAAGTTTATTTATCTTAATGTCGTAAGGTAGAAAACACTCTATAAAACATGAAGCAAGATAAATAGATATCAATACATATGGAATTACTTATAATTGTATCTATTCAAGTTCTTCCACTTTACCTACTTCTTGGCCCATCATTTGGTCATCTGAAATTATTGAGTAAACTCCTTCATCAGTTCTCACTCCGTCATTTTTTTTCCAATTTGTGACTTTATATTTTAGTAGAGGATAGAAAAGTGGACTCAGAGTCAGGAAGATTTAGGTTCAAATTCTATATAACATTATAGGTTTGATCCAAATAATACCTTAGACATGTTCTGTGAATGGTTTAAAATTTGATTCTGAAGCAACATGCTCAATTCTCTCCTTAATATCCACCCATTCATTCCTTTATTAAATAGACACTTATTAAATACATATTATGTGCAAGTCATTAAGATGGGTAGAGATCTCTTGGTTGTATTTCTCCATTCTATCTTGGAGATTTGGGTGCTTGTGGACTCACCTCTAAGAGAACTGTTTTCATGAAAGATGTCCCTTAGACTATGGTGAATCAAAGAGATTATCCCAGGGCTTATGCTTTGCGGGACTTTGTACCTGGTGACTTAGCAATGACACTGAGAGGTAGTTGTTGGAAGAGAAGATAGCTCATTTATCACTTCAACAGACCACAGAGTTAGACTGATGTTGTCATACCCACAATTCCCATTGCTACTTATAGTAAAAAAGTAGATACGGCTTCCCTTACACGCTTCCACGATAGCCCTTCAGCAGCCCCGATGTAAACATCATCCCTTTATTTTTGTATGTCCTTCCTTTTACTTCCTTTCTAAGACTGACATTTTTGGATATTTGTTTTAATTTCATTTTACTTGGATGAAAATGGTCTGTGATTTTCCTGGACCCCATACCTCCCTGTCATGACTCTAGAATTCATAGCTTCTTAGTGATTGACAGCTTTGGTTTTCCTTAACCTGGTGGTATAAGGACAGCCAGCACTGATACCCAGTTTTTGATTCAATTCAAAATCAAACTGAACATTAATTAAGCAGTTACAATGTGACAGACTGCTGATAATGCATTCAAAAGATGATAAAAAAGATTCTTTTCTTTTCGCTACACTGGGAGAAAGAGGAACATGTAGCCAGGTGAGCTCTTAGCCATTTTTGTGTCATGAATCTCTTTAGTGGTCTGGGGAAGCCTATGGACCCCTTCTCAGAACCATGTTTTTAAGTGCACAAAATAAAATACACAGTATTACAAAGGAAAACCAACATTAGTGAAAATAAAAATATAATTTTTTCTCATCTCCTCCCTTGCCCTCCCCAAAATCTATCCAAGCATCTGTGGACTCCAGGTTAAGAGAGAAGAATGGAAGGTAACAATGGAGGGAAGGCAGAAGTATGTTTTGCCTTTTTCTGGTTACTCTGAGTGGTGGGATCACTAATCAGGGAGTATTAAATTTTATTAAAGATGAGATGAGAGCATTATGGTTCAGTGAAGGACAGCATATAGTATCATCTGTATAATTCTGTTCAGCTGCCTTTCCTTCCTTTTCCTTTATTGTTCTCATTTTTTTGTTATTTCTCGCCCAATCTGTCACATCCCCACCCCTGGTACACTACTTTCCTTTCTCTACAGCTTATCTCCTTTCTTTTTTCAAGTGTTTTTCAATCTCGGTCACAGAATCCAATTAGCCAGAAGATCCAAAGGTCGAGAATGGAAATAGATGGCCTGGGTGTGGTTTTGCTTTTCTTCTTTCCACCACCCTACCACCCCAAAAAAAGTGAAGGGAAGTGAGAGGGAGAGAAAATACATGCATGTTAATTTTTTAAAAAATAATTTTAAAGAATAGGCAAAAAGATACTGAATAACAGATGGCTTCAGAATGTCTTCTTGCCAAAGGTAGAAAGCCCATGCTCAATGAATACTTAATCAATGAATGAATAAAAAAATTTTTTTTAAAACCTTTGCTTACTTCGGTATATATTAAATGAAGGAAAACATCACGTGAAGAGGCTGAGGTACTCACTGTGGTCACAGCAACAGTTCTTCCTGGTGGTCCTGGTGGCCCAGGTGGCCCAGGTGGCCCTATTAAGCTATCTCCATCACTCCCCTTTTCACCCTGGTTCCCAAAAGAAAGGATGAGAGAGAAAATAGTCATTGAATTCACATTTGCATAATGTAAATCAAAATGATAGCCAGAATTAAATCTAACTGCTTTGGGACCTGTGAACTTACCTTAGGCCCTTGATCCCCTTTTTCTCCTTTTGGCCCCTGTAGAAAATAAAAAAAATAAATTTGTTGAAAGCTTCTCTGAGACCTGTTATTCTTTCCTCCTCCACACCTTTATTTGAGGGCCTCATTACCTTTCTTCTGGAGTACGGAAATATCATTCAACTATCTAACATGAGATCTCCTCTTCACAATGCATCCTACCGGCACCTACCAAAATAATCTTCCTAATATATGTGTCTGTCCAGTTCCCTCCATGGATCAAAAACCTTCAATGATTCCCCATTGGCTATAAGACAAATATAAACAACTTAAGTTTGGTGTTTAAGGCTTTACCAACCCTTATGTAGTGTACTTTTCCAGGTCTACTCTTATGCCATCTACACTCCAGCCAAACTAGTTGTTTAATGATCTTGTCTTGCCCTTTCCCATGAGACAATTTGTGTGACCTCTCTCACACCAGAAGTAATCAAGCAAAGCTAGATGACCACTTTTCCTAGATTTTGGCTTCTACTTTGAGTGGGAAGTTGGATTAGATAATAACTTCCAGCTCTAAGATTTTAAGGTCCCATTTCTATGGTTCCATGTCCATAATTAAACCTATTATCTACTCCCAAACAAGGTCCTCTCTACCCAAAGGTGGCAAAAGCCAATTATTAAATTTTCAGTGTGAGCTTCACACCTAAAAAAATAAACAAAGAATACAAATGAGGGCTTGATTTATCGATTAATTGGTTGTCTAGACTTAAGATAGTAATGGAGAAAATGTTACTAATGAAATTTAAACTTGAGAGTGTCATGTACTTTTTTTTTTCTTCACAGAACTGGTTGTTAAATATTATCAAGGTGCACCCCTTTCTCTATCTTTCCATTTCCATCAATGACTATATCATTCTCCAAATTCTGCAGACTCAAAACTTTGGAATAATTTTTTATTTTTTGCCTTTGTCAGTTTTTGCCTTTCTTTGTATTGCTACAACTTAGCAGTGTGTCTTGCACATAGCAGGTGCTTAATAAATGCTTATTGACTTGATTTGACTTGCAGTGTCTTTGACATGTCTTCCTTTCCATTCCTAGTTATCACCCTAGCATAGGTCTTCATAGCCTTATGCCAAAATTTATTGCAATATTCTCCAAACCAATCTCCCTTCCCAATCTCTTTTTGCTTTAATCCACATGAACATCAACCTGAATAAATACTTCCTTAAAATAATTTCATCAAGTCTATCTTTTATTAATTAAAAAAAAAGTCTAATGGCTTTCTATTGCCTCTGTTGAATCAAAATACAGGATTTTGGATTTAAACCCATTATATTTCATCTTGTTAGTTTTGTCTCTTTGTTGTCCTGTAGAAATCCTTTAGAAATTTGCTATCCAAGGCTATCCACAATATAGCCTCACTGTCTCTATCACCCGATACTTCCCAATATGAACACTCATCTCCAGCTAACGTGGTTTACTTGCCTTTACACAGATAGGCCATTCTCGTCTCTGCCCCTTGGTTCGTGGTATTCTCTTTGTTTTTCCCTTTCTATCTGCCTCTCTCCCACCCCATCCTCCAACCCTAATCTCCAATTCTAGTTTGTTTCATGAAGTTTCCTCTGACCACTCCAGCCTGTAGTAATTTCTGAACTTGAATAACACAATTTCAATCAATCATTCTGCAGATGATCCAAAGACGAGAAGAACAGTTGATATGTTTGATGACAGAATTAACAGTAATAGTATACATTTTAGAGTGCCTTAATATTTACAAAGCTCCGGGAAATGACTGACAGGGATAAAATATAACAAAGGGTAAACTAAAAAATCACATATTGTGGTTCAAATAATCAGTCGTAAGATGGAGGAGGCCTGACAACAGCAGTTTATTTTTTGGAGGTTTTTTGATTGTTTTGGTGGTGGTGGAACATTAGGAATGTGACAAATTCTGCTTTTCTCCAAGTTTGGTCTGGCTTTAAATATGGGTTGTGACTAAGAACTGTGATACTCAGGACCAGTCTAGTCTTCGATCTCCAGTGACTGGACCATTTCAAGACCTGCCTCTTAATCTCTACAGCCCCAGTCAGTAGCTTCCTATCAAAGTATCACACAGGGAGTCCACTAACTCACAAGTCACCGTACATTGTTGGACAGTGTTAATTGTCATAAACGAGTTCCATATTGGTTTTTATTGGACCTGTGATTTCATCGGTATAGGGAGTTTCTAGTTAGAGACTTCCCCTACTAATGGAGATCACAGTCATTCTCTTTAACTCATAGCCCCTCATTCTGAGGCGCTGAGAGGTTAAGTGAATTTGCTCTAGGGTCACACAGCCAGTATATATCAGAGATGGGACTTAAACCCAGGTTTTGATGACCCCAAGGCAAGCTTTGCTGTGACTATATTATGATGCCTTTCTCTTTTTTCTTTCTTTTAAAATTTTTCTTTATTTTATTTTTAATTTATGGAATATAATAAGCATTTCCATAACATGAAACTGCAAATCTATTATGTACAACTTGCTATTCCTTTTAAATATATAGTAAAGATATCATGGCTGTTCCACTGAATTGCCTCAAGTATTTATTCTGGGGGTGATTAACTGTTTATTAACTCTTCCAGATGCAAAAAAAAAGTTCTTAGCCACTTGACAGCAGCTTTATTATTTCTGCTGAATCAGACTAATGACAACTCTCGAGATTAGCTTCTTAGCTCAGAAACCCTATCTGATTGTGGGGCCTCTTCTTAGATCATCTCTTTTGTGTGGCTAGAAATGAGGAATCCCAGATGAGAAAGAGAAGAAGAAAAAAAGAGAAAAGGCCTGCCTGTCTCAGGACTCGGGAAAATTATCAGGTCTGATCTATGAGTGTCTGATCTAAGGGGCATCAATTCAGGTCAGTTATCCAGGGGCACTTAAAATAAGCACTTAAATTTTACTAGCTCATGTCTGCTTTTCAGGAGACAGATACATCATAGATAGTTTCTAAAGTAGCCCAGACTATGAGCATGGGAGACATTTCTGAACTAAAGGGTCAGATAGAATGACAGGATTGTTTAATTAACATTTATGAGCTGGGGATGTTTATAAGCAATTCCTGGTAGCTTTTTTCCGCCTAATTAGAAAATAGCTTGGTGATAGTAGAGTTATCAGGAAAGCAATTGACCAATGTTGTTGTGTATGTATACGGGTCTGAGTTCCTTGATGGTCCACAGGCCATAGGTACTGTTTACATGGTTTTCCTCCTGGGGACAGAAGGAGTGACAAGGACCAGTAAACTCTGCTTTGTAATTTATCATGAAAATTTGCCTTCTCTGCTTTATGGAGGTCATAAATCTCTTCTGGAAGTTACTAGTGCCTATATCCTTGTATTCTGCACTGTCATTCTTCTTCCAATAATATTTAATAACCTCAATAAAAGGGCAAATATACTAAATATGAGAATAAACTTTGGGAAAATAGAAACCAAAAACAGAAGCAAGGTTTTCACCTTGAAAAGCACTTCATTTAATTCCTACAGACAGAGCTGTATTTTTTTTTTTTTTTGCTAGAGTACACTTTAGACAATCTACCCACCATAAATTAGATGGTACCTTCCATTTAGGACTTCAAAGTTCTATGGATTCTTATCCCATAAATAATAATAGTGCCTTTATGAGGTAGTAGTAGGCATTATGGAAATTACACAGATGGGAAAGTAGAGGCATAAAGCAGGCAAGTTATTTACAATAACTAGTGAATTATGGATAAAGCCAAGGTTTCTCCCTTCTCTCCCCAGCTTCCTATCTCCAACTCTCAAGTACTATGCACAGAGATCTTATTTCTGAAGAGATCAGGTCACTTAAAGAGTTCTGATTTTAAAAATAAACTTACGTTTGGCACTGTTGGTCCTGCAGTTTTGGGTTCACTCAACAATCTAATGCTTCCAGAGCCTTCTATATCCTAGGAAAAGAGAAAGAATGATGTATAATCAAACAATAAAAACTACTTATCGATTAGGCCTACAATTTTTCCAAAATTGTCTTGCCTGGGACAGCTAAACAGTGACAGGCACCAGTTCTGGTGACCAGCCCTCAATATGGAGGGCATATGACATAGTAGATAGAGAGTAGTCTTTAAAGCCCAGAAGACTTGGGTTTTAGTTCTCCAACATACACTAGTTATGAGGCCCTAGGTAAGTTATTTAACCTTTCAATGCTTTAGGTAACTCTCTAAACTTTGTATTACAGAGAAGATGTGGCCTTGCATTGGCTTTGGTTTGTTTCCTATACCAATGAAATCAAAGGTCTAATGCCTATACATATCCTTGTATCACTCAATTGAATCATTCACCAAAGAGAAAAAACTGGGATATTGTTGAAAGATAAGGACAGAAAGGCAGTTGGAGACAGAATGTAGAGAGCTTTAAATGTTACATTAAAAAAAAGTTATTTATTTGGTAGGTACAGGGGAGCCCCTGAAAGTTTTAGAGCAGATAAATGAGATGGTGAATCCCACGGGCCCTTGGAGGGGTGTGTATGTGTGCATGTGTACATGCATGTGTGTGCATTTGTGCATGCATGTATGTACACACATGTGCATATGATGTCCAGAAATATCAGTAACATAAAAATAAAAGGCAGTAATAACACTCATTAAAATAAAGATGACTAGGTCTTTGTCGTGAAGGATGATTGGACAGGGAAGAGAGAAGCAGTTATAAATAATGAAGAACCTTATTACCAACATGAGGGCCAGGAATCATTTTACTCCCCATCATCGCTGGTCTGTTCTGTCCTACTGTTACTGGCACAAGGGGAATGTAGAGCAGGAATATTTGTTAAAGAAGAAAAGCTCCTGCTGTCAAGTAGTCAATTAGATTGACTGCTAGGTTCCAGAGTGAATAAAGTACCAGACTTGGAGTCAGAAAGACGTGGTTTGGAATCCTGCTTCAGATCCTCGCTAGCCGGACCTCTCTCCTCTCAGGTTCAGTTTCACTTGTAAAATGAGGTGGATTTAACTTGACTTCTGAGGTTCCTTTCAGCGTTAAATCTATGATCTTATGATTGGGGAGCCCTCTGGCAGATTTGGTGGTTTGCAAAAAAAAAAAAAAAAGATTCAGGTAAGGGCATTGCTGCAGTATTTGCTGTTCCCAGGAGACTCCTCAGATTTGGGGGTGTCTCTCTGTGTATTCCTCCACATTCATATCTGCGGAAGGCTGCCCAGGTTGATGTGTGTAATGCCTGTTTCCCCTTCCTGTCATGCATTGTGGGTGCTATGGATATGCATATAGTACCTTCCTTGAGGCTGGCAGTCAAGCAAGTCTGCGACTTTGAGGTTTCAAGCTGATAAATTTTGAGCTAGAAGAGTCTGTGGGATAGGTACCTGGTTGGAGATAGCCAATGAATAACTAAAAATCTAGAACTAGAGTTCATGTAATATAACAAGATCAGATATATAAATTTAGGAGTTGTTGGTATAGGAGCAATAGTTGAAATGATAATAATTCATGTTTATATTGATTTTTGAGCCTGAATATCAGCTGTCCTTGGCAATATCATAGTTAATAATAATAATAATAATAGCTAGCATTTATGGCATTCTTTAAGATTTGTGAAGGGCTTTACAAGTGTTATATCATTTTAAACTCAGAATAACCCTGGGAAGTAGGTGGTATTATTATCCCCATTTTTCTGATGAAGAAACTGAGGCAGACAGAGCATAAGTGACTTGCCTAAGGTCACACAGATCGTTAGTGAGACTTAAGCTGAATTTGAATTCAATTCTTCCTGACTCCAGGTCCAGTTCTCTACCCACTGCACCACCAAGTAACCTTCTAAGTGTTTTGAAATATGTGTGCATGTGTGTGTGTGTATGTATGTATGTATGTGTGTTGTTTGTCATCTTTGACATTATGTCAAGAGAAATAGAAGAAAGCTCCTACTAAACACATTGGGTGGTCCTTCTGTGGAGGATATGTGGGGAAGATGGGAAGGTATGGATAAGAATTACTCAGAATGAGTAGGTGTGGATGGGTTGTGATATCCATTAGAGGAAGGAGTTCCCATATTGATGATATCTCAATCTATCATGTATTGAAGTTGACTTTGGGATGTCTAAAAGGTGAAGGTATTAATGTAACTCTAAACATAGGGATTGGGCAAAACTGTAGAGTAGGGATAGATGCACTGAATACTCCAGGTAAGGGATTGGAAAGGCCACTTTTATTCCAAATAAACCACTGGATCAAACATTCGTACCAATGAGAAGAATCATAGGCCTCTATTTAATTCCCTCTTAGCTAGATAGCAAAGTGGATAGAGTATTGGACTTGGAGTCATGAAGATTGGAATTAAAATCCTCCTTCAGATGTTTAGTAGCTATGTAACCCTGGGCAAGTCCTTTAAATTTTCCCAGCCTCAGTTTCCTTATCTGTAAATTGGGGTTAATAATAGCACCTACCTCACAGAGTTGTTGTGAGGATCAAATGAGAAAATATGTGTAAAGCCCTTTGCAAACCTTAAAGAACTGTGTAAATGCTAAGTGATAATATTATTAATAAAAACAATTAGGCAAACAGTCAATCTAGAACAAGCAGAAGTGTGTGGACAAGGCAACTTTTTCTAGCCTCTCCTTGCCTTCTCTTTCCAATCTCTTTCTTTCTCTTGGCAATATAGGGGCTATTTGGGTGATGTTTGTAGTTGAGGTTGATTAAGCAACATATACAGTATAATAACAACAGCAATGATAACAGCTAGTAATAATATTCAATTCAATTTAACATGCGTTTATTAAGCATGTATTACATGTGAGGCACTATACAAGACACTGGGAGTACAAAGACAAAAATGAAATACTGCTAGTATTTACTCCTGGTTTGAAAACACTTTTCTTAAAATAACTCTGTGAGGTTGGTGTGACAAATACTATTGTTTCCATTTTTAAGATGAAGAAACTGAGATTCAGAGATGTTAAATGATTTGCCAAGATCAAGTGTAGTGTCAGAGGTAGGGCTTGAACCCAGATTTTTTGATTCTATTATTCTGTAGAGAAAGGTGTCTTGGACAGCCCCTTTACGACTCTGTCTCTTCCTAACCCTTCTACTCATATGTTCCTTGTACTTTTTTGTCAGACTGAAGTGGCGTAAGGGCATGGTTTAGTCCCATTCTTCTATGCCCTTAATCAAACCCAGGTTTGAACAGGTTTAAAAAACTCTTGTCCATGATACTATCGGATGGAGGTTAGTCGTCATGGAGGACTCATGGGAATAGCACCCTGTTCTTAAATCTAATCATCACATAACAGCAGGCTAAAGCATGGATGCCCAAGGAGATGTAGAGGAAAAGAAAAGAAATGATTCTCATTTCTGCATTATCCTTGCAGGAGAGGCACAAGGGAATTGCTCTGGACTCATTGGTGCTTCAGGGATTCGTGTTTTTATTCATCTGTGTCTTCCATCCCTTGATGCAGATTGGAGCACCTAACTCTAAGACTGAGTGGACAGTTTCATAAATGGCTGTGTCCAAAAACCAAAGGCTTTATGACTTGGTTGATAACATAGTGAGACATGCAATCCATCAGCAGGACCGCGGCCGAAGTTCACCTAGTTTGGTGCTGCCTCTTACAGCTTGCATTCAAATTGCACAGCCTTGGAGAAACCAGAGTCTACTTCCATGCCACAATGAGCCACTAGAAGAAGACTTCAATAATCCTATTACATAGTGTATAATTTAATTAAAGGTCCCACAACAACAGCAACAACAATATTAATGATAATAGCTAGGATTTATCTAAATATTTTATGGTTTGCAAAGCTCATTACATTTAATTTGATCCTCAGGACAACTTTGGGAGGTAGATACTACTATTAGCCCCATTTTAGAGATGACAAAATTGAGGCAGACAAAGGTTAAGTGACCTGCCCAGGGTCACATAGTTAGCAAGAGTCTGAGGGAGGATTCAAACTCTAGTCTTCATGATTTCAAGTCCAACACTCTATCCCCTGTACCATCTCATTGCTTCAAGCTACCATAAGAGAACAATATGCTTATTCTCATATGGTAAATGAATACTTCCTTTTAAAGTAGTTTTTCATATCTCAAATGAGCTGACCAACCACAGATATAAAGAATTTAGAAAGCACTTAGTTTTTATAATTGATATCCTATTTCAGCTTTAATCCAACTAGTTTCAGGGAAGGCTGCAGTAACAAAACCCACAAATATTGTGTTCCCAAAGATTACTTTTTCTATACATAACAGTAGTTAATTGGTGGCATAAATAGTTGACTGGCAGATTTTTAATCTGTAAATTAAGAAAACCTAACAGAATCTGAATAGCAGAATGTGTGCAATTAGTTACACAAAAAACAACGCTACTGGGAACATTTCGTTCCATGTGAACACATGAATGGAGCAGAGCCAGAGCCTTCCTATGGTAAAATCATGCTATAATCCATGAAGAGATTAAGGGGTATGTGTGGGAAGGGCTCAGAGATAAAACTGGAGCTAATTTGGAGTTGACTTCAGGCAACTGGCCTAATGCCCAAATTGGGATTTGGGGATATTATAGAATCTTGTGTACAGTATGTGCTTAATAAATACTTGTTGAATTAGCCAATGAGGTTTTAAGAGCATCATGAAATGACTAACCAGAGCTTTGATTAGGGAGCAAGACCTAGGGAAAATGAAATCCTACCCCAGTGAGTACTAGTACTCTAGAAGTGAGAAAAGAGAGTGGGTGAAATCAATCTTGTTTATTAAATTGCATCATTCTTTCATGCATATATAATTAAAAAAGAAAGATTACCTCAAATCCAAGTCCCACTCCACAGCTGGCTCCAGGGGGCCCAGGAGGACCAGGGAGGCCAGGGGGGCCAGGCTCCCCAACAACGCCATCTTTCCCTGGGGGGCCTGGTAATCCTCTTTGTCCAGAGTCACCCTGGAATGCAAATATTTATTACATTGAAAGGAGCTTAAATCAGTTGCTGAAACCATATACTATTTGCCTGGCTTGAAAAATTATTCCTTGACTTAATTAAGTTGACAAATTATATTATAGCTGTTTCCTAGTTTTATAGAATATCTGAATTGTTCTTCCCGTGTTCACTGGTAGATAAACTTGTAAATTAACTTGAATACATTTGTGGGAGAAATGGCAAGGAAATTGTAGAAATATTTCTGACAAGTCTTCCATGTATACTGTTTTCCTGTGATTTTTGTTTTAGTGCTTGGGATGTCTTTCTATGCTACTCTACATGGATGGGTTGCAATTTGCATGGTTATAGGGAACTCATGAATCAGTGAGATCACAGATTCATTTGAACAGTTGAGTCCATTATGTTTGACATTCACACTCATGATACATATGCAATTATATCCTGAACATATGACAATTTTATAAAATATCAGAATTAGACTATAAAGATATCCCTCTTTTACCTTTTCACCAATGGAGCCATTAGGACCTTTTTCACCCTGAAAAATAAAAGGAATTCCAATTAAGTCAATATTAATAAAAGAATGAGTTGCTATGAATCTTTGAGGATTTATAACTAAGTTCCCACTCAATAAAGACCATCCACTTTTACAATATCCCTGAAAAAGAGTCATCCAATTTCAGATTCAACAATAGGGAAGGAGAGGGAAAGGGAACAATTATTTATTAAGCACCTACTATATGCCAGGGACTGTGTTAAACACTTCATAAATTTTTTCTCATCTGATCTTTATAACAACCCTGTGAGGTAGGTACTAGAATTACCTCCATTTTCCAGTTAAAGAAACTGAGGCAGACAGAGGTTAAGTGATTTGCCTATGGTCATACAGCTAATGCATATTTGAGACCACATCTGAACTCAGATCTTCCTGACTTCATCATCAAGAAACCCTGGGAAATTCAAGGTAATCCACCTAGCTGTGGTAGAGTACAGTGAAAAGAATAGTGGATTGGGACCATGGACCATGATGTAGAGTGCTGGTCCTGATGTCAGGAAGATTTGGATTCAGATCTTGACTCTGTGCTTATTAGTTTGTAATCGTGGGCAAGTCACTTAATGTCTCTGAGCTTTAGTTTCATTGTCTGAAAATGGGCAGTACCCTATAGCACATACCTCACATGGTTGTCATGGGAAGCTAGGCAACTCATGTATGTAAAGAGATTTTTTTTTTCAAATCTTTAAGTGATATAGATGTCAGATAATATTATTCAAGTTTCCTATTACAAAATGACTGAATTTAATAGCAAGTCACTTTTATTTAGCACTTTAAAGTTTACATAATGTTTTCCTCAGAATAACCCTGTAAAGTAGTCAAGTACCATTTTCTCTAAGGTAGGTATGAGAAAACTAGGACTTAATCAAATGAAAAGACTTGCTCAAGGTCACCTTGTTAGAAAGTAGAGGCTCAGATTCTTTAAACTGACAACTCTTTTGTGTTCACTTGTATTAGAAAAAGTCTCTTCAGAAATCACTTAAGGCTACCTTTTAAAGATCTCTGTACAAGGACATAGACAGGACAAGAGATTTAATGCTGAAAGGGAACTTAGTGGCCATCTAGTCCAGGGCTTTTAAAACTTTCTCCAGTCATGACCCCTCCAGTGCTTCTTAAACTGTGGGTCGAGACCTTATTTCTAGTCTAATTCCCCAATTTTATAGAAAAGACTGAGCTTCAGAGAGTTGAAATGAGTTGCCTAGGGCAAATAGTGGTGCCAGGAGAGAGATGAGAAGGGAGAGGGATAAAGAGAGAGGGGTGAGAGAGAGTGGGAAGAGAAAAGGGGAAAGGAGACAGAAAAAAGAGAAAGGGAGGGAAGGAGACAGAGGGAGGAAGAGAGAGAGAAAGAGAGAGAGAGAGGAGAGAGGAGAGAAAGAAGAGGGAGAGAGAGGGTAACAGAGAGAAACAGAGAGGGAGGGATGTAGGAAGAAAGAGGGAAAGACAGAAAGAGAGAGAAAGAAACAGAGGGAGACACAGGGAGAGGGAGGGATAGAGAGAGGGGAGAGGAAGAGAGAGGGAGAGAAAGAAGTGGAAGAGAGAGAAACAGAGAGAGAGAGAAAAAGGAAGGGGGGAGGAAACAATGTGCATTTAGGAGGTGGAAAGATAGCATTAAGCTCATATAAGTGATATTTCTTTTACAAGAAAAAATATGGTATTTATGAAGTCAGTTCTACAAAATCAGACAACTTTTTCTTTTTACTCCTGAAAACTTAAATTTTCATGAAAATAGAATTGATTTAACTTTTAAAAAACCACATTCAGAGTTTCCATATATAGGAAGCATGGAATAGAGTTGATCGTACCTCTCACAAGTAATCTCCATCTGCTCTGATCTTATATGGTGTTCTTTTGGTTTGTAGTGCCTACACCTCTCACAGTTGCTAAGAGGAAGACGTTTTGTAAACTTTAAAGTCTGAAGAAATATGAATTACTATATTTGTTATTACAGGCAAGGCTATTGCCAAATTCCCAACATTTGGAAGCCTCCTTTGTTTTCTGTTTTATTTGTATCCACCCTTTGATTTCGATCTTACCTTTTCTCCTTTCATGCCTGGAAGGCCAGCAGCCCCATTAAGTCCTGGATGACCATCAGGACCCTATTGAATCAAAACAACTTATGAGACCAAATCGTTCCTTATAAAATAAATGAATCATTATGATCAGACCTAAAACAGGCTTTGAGATCAGTTAGCCTGCCAAGGTGTTTGATGTCTTCAATGCTGTATTTTAATGTTTTGCCTGTAGGGGCCTTAAACCTAGAATCATTAAATAACTATAAGAGACCTTAGCAATGGTATATAGTCCAACAGATGAAGACCCAGAGAGATTAAGAAATTCATCTAAGTTCACCTAGATAAAAAGCAGCTAAGTTGAGATTTAAACCTAGGACCTTTAACCACAAATATAGTTCTCTTTCCACCATACAACATTGCTTCTCGCTACTGTTTTTATTTCCACAATAACATCAGCCACATCTACAGTAGGTGGAGCCACTGGCTAAAAGGTTTTAATTAAAACTATTGCTTTGGTGATTTTATACAACAGTAGAAAAAATGATTTGGAGGCAAATGTACAGTTTGTGAGATTGGTAGTTCTCTATCCTGAAAACAGCTGATTCAACAGGTCTCTTTGGGTACCGAGCAAAATGTGGAATCTCAGAAGAAAAACCTTGAAGTTGAACCTTAGCCATTTTTTTTTTTTAAAGAAAATCACCAATTCCCCATAAAGATGGTTGTCCCTTTGGGATCTGCTATACCTTTTTATCAGTTTGGTTACAACTCAAACTCAGGAGGCTCTTCCAGATGGGGAAATATAGTCAATAGAGTTCAGTTGTCTTAAGGCAACTTAGTCTGGTTTTTACTTGAAAACAAGTGAAAAAAAATCTTCGGTTTGGGATGTCAATAACATGCAAAAAAAAATCACAGAGTGTCCCCATTTTTCTCCCTTGCAGAACATTTTAGATCTTTGTCATAAACACTGTCAACTCTCATCCCATCTGTAAATGGAGTAATTTCTTATTGCTTTTCGGCTCATTTCTGTTTCTCTTGGTTGTGTTGCAAAATAGCTTTGTTTCATTAAAAAAAAAAATCCAGTTGTAAAATACTGGGTCATGTGGCTTCAGATGCCAGTACTCATTAAAACACTGAGTCATGTGACATTAGTTCACTCAGAGTTGATTAATTAGGATCATCGGGGAAGACGCAGTACCAGCACGTGTTGTTGGTATAAAAAAATGGATCATAAGCTCTGATTAAAAAGGGTCAAAGAGGAGGAGATTGTTTTGGAAGATTAGAAAGAGCTGAAAGCTGTACAGAAGCTGGTTGCTCTAAAAAGTAAAGAAAGTATGGATAAACTGCTGAGACAGTGTTTTGCTATGTAAATAGGAAGGAAATATTAATATGATGGTTCACTATAGGATTAGCTTCTCCAGAATTCAGGATAAGCTGGGATTGATAACACCAAAGCCAAAGAGAAGTCCAAGGAAATATGTAGATTAACAAGCAAATATTTGAAACTGAAGTTTAAAGTTGTGGTATGTGTTTGTGATGAAAAGTACATGATGAGAAGGATGGTTTCAGAAAAACCTGGGAAGACATATAAATTGATGCAAAGTGAAGTGGGCAGAACCAGGGGAACACTGCACACAGTAATAGCAATATTATAATAATTAGCTATGAAAGAATTAGCTACTCTGGTCAACACAATGGTCCAAGACTGATCCAAGATCCAAGATCTGAAGGACTCATGATGAAAGATACTATCCACCTCCAGAGAGAGAATTGATGAATCTCTGAGTGCAAATTGAAGTATAATTTTTTAACTTCCTTTATTTTTCTTGCTTTTCTTTTTGCAACATGGATAATCTAGAAATAGGTTTTATATGATTTTTCATGTATAATTGATATTATATGGCTTGCTTTTTCAGTGGGTGGGGGAGGGACTAGAGGGAGGGAATTTAAAACTCAATTTTTTTTAAAAGGTATGTAAAAAATCAATAAATAATAAAAATTTAAAAACCTGGAATTTAATCACAGTTGACAATACTCTATCCTTTTTACTCCATTCTTTTCACTTATTGTAGGTGGCATTACCTAGTTGTGAAGAAATAAATGAAATTCATTGATCAATCAGCAATACTTGGAGTGTTATAAAAAGAGGGAAATGCCTATCTCTTCAAGACTGCAAACACTAGCCATGAAAATATTTATCCTTGAGTTCTAAAGATAGACCAATCTGAAAATTGGGGTATGGCAGTTGGTTGCTTAGGGAGGAAGGCATTCTGGGTTGGCAAAGGAACCTTAGTCTGATGATTTTATAACAGAGTGAATATAAGAAAAACCAAAATGAAAGAAAGGCAATAAGAATGGTCTAGGCTGGGCTAAACTGAGGGTAAGTACAAAGGGAGTTAATTTGAGGTATATGGAATCCTGGAATGTCAGAGCTAGAAGGAGCCTTGGAAATCAACTGATTGAACCCAACGATACTGAAACCAATAAAAGAAGTTACTTGGACAAAAACATATAGTCAATCAGTGACAAACTAGAACCACCAAGCCAGGGTTCTTTCCAATCATACCATACGGCCAAGAGGGCTCATCAACAAATTTAAAGTGCTCTATTAATCTGAATAACAAAGTAAATTATATAACAAGTAGAAAACTTGTAAGAGAGCAGCTAACTGCCTTTGATCAGTGAAGATGAACTACATGCCATAGTACTGAAAAAATTGGTGAATAGAATTGCTAGGCCACCATTAGTGATACCTGAGAAAGTATGAAGAAGAATAGAAGAATTTCAAAAATGGAAAAGAGCAACTGTCCCAATTTTCTGAAAAAGGACAGGAAATGAGTCTGAAAACTATAGGCCAATGAATTCATTCCTGGAAAAATTCTAGACTACATTATTAAAGGGATAGTTAGGGAACATTTAGAAAAGGAAGCAGTGATTGCAAAGATCCATCACAGATTCATCAAGAAAAGTCATGGCAAACTAAACATATTTCCTCCACTAATAGAGTTACTAAACCAGCAGGGCTAGAGCATGCATTGATTAGAATTTTAAGCTGGATTTTATTATTATAACTTTTATTTTTGTTATTCTGAGTTAGATAAATGTCAACAAATATGAATTTTCATATACAAAGGATGGAAAAAGAGGATTATATGTAGTCTATGGATCTCTATTCCATATAGCTTGTATTTTTTCAAAAGTATATGATAAATTTGACACCGTCTCAGCGCTGCCCTGCTTGTAGAACTTTGTTACATTCTTTGCATTCTTAATGCTTGAATGATATTCTTTTCTTTCTTTTCTCCTTGATTTTTTGGCATCACCAGCTCTAGCATTCCTCTCTCCCCCAATATGTGCCCCACCTCTCTTAACAAATGGACACAGTCAAGGAAAAAGAAACAACCTGTACATTGGCCATGTTTCATTCTTTTGTGTGTGTGTGTGTGTGTGTGTGTGTGTGTGTGTGTGTGTGTGTGTG